TCCTAGGATGGGCGTCAATGCTGTGACTGCACGGGAATGGTGGAATGCCACATTGTCCCATGTGATCACGTATATTGGCAAGTGGTCTCTCACCTGTCCCCTTTCTACCTCTGGCACAAGTGCAGGTCTTATTTCACTACCCTAGCTCTGTCTCTTCTTTGAGCGCCACCACTCATTCTAACTCCTCTCCCTTGTCCTGGTACGCATCTTCCTCTACCTAGTGCAGACATTTTTTTTTTGTTATTTTTTTTTTTTTGCTCTATATTGTTCTCTTTCCACAAAAGATCCGCCAAAAAGGTCCTCTTTTACTGTATACCATATGGTCATGCAATTGAAAGAACCTCAACCCCTGAGTGTGTTTCCTAGAAATCAGCTGTGATTTATATATTTGCATAATTCAATCAGCCGTAACAATAGAATAAAATACAGGGGATATATTTGTGTTTCAATTCACAATATAAACAGCTGTTTGCCTTGACTTTAGCCTGTAAGGTTAGGTTTAGAACATGGTGTTATCTGTTCTGAAATACAGTGTTAAAGCACTGGTAAATTTGGCAGTAAAATTCCATTGTTTTGGTCTTAATTGAGCTTGTGTGTAAAAGAAGTTCAAGCATTTTAAATTTTTGTTAATTGTATGCATTTTGTGTTAAAGCAACAAGAAATGCGTTAATAGTATAGCTTACACAGACGGATGTAGTGATAACTGTGTTAAGAGTTTTGGAAAATTGTTAAAAGTATTGAAAAATCTGTCATAGCAATCGTAAAAAAACTGTAATTATGATATGAGGACAGTTGCATAACCCTGACATGTTTTAACTAAAACATAATTGAGAAATTATAGCATGCTGAACATAGTAAAGGTGCATTCAAGTATGAATTGCATTTTTTATTATAATTTGCATAAATGATTTGACCTGATCCCAAACATAAGTCATTAAAACCCATATTGATCAACAACTATTCTAAATAATGGAGTGTATATGCCTTAATGTGTTAGAACTGCCTTCTACCGCTCTCTACACTCCAAAACAAATATATGATTAATAAGTTATGACAACATATGTTCATCAAAATAAGTTAAGCAATTTTTAACGTTTTTTATAAGTTATACAAGATTCAACTCATTTTTAAATCAGTTTAAAGTAATTTACTATAATTTTAACTGACTTAAACATCCAAGTTGAATGTAAAATTTAAGCCAGCAACTTTTTTTTTGCAGTGTATGTAAATGAGGACAGTTTATGAGTCATAATTAATCTTAGTGTAGGGCGTCCCATTGGAACACAATAGAGTAAGGGAAGGTGTAACCGTAGAGCTCTTATGCAGTATCAGTGTTGCAGGCCTGCGGTGCTGAAACCCTGTCACTCTCGAAGCTCCCAGGCCAGCGCTGTGCTCTCCGCATTCAACACGCTCTTTATCTAAACACAAAGTGCTCTCCATCAGCTTCCACTGCTTCCTTTTACCACTACCTGCATTTATATTGGGGCACATTCTGGCGTTTGCGGTCACTTCTCAAGTACTTTTTGTGAAAAAGGACATTACCTCCTATAATTGACTGAAGCGCAGAGCGTCCATTTGCGACAGACTGGAGAAGGCCCTGACAAACCCGAGCTCCATCCGCAGATTGCACTCTACGTTTTCCCAGGTTAACACCGAGCGTTATTAAAGCAAGTTGACCGTGGGGTCAGCCCGAGAGCGGCCCATGAAAACAAACAATTAATTTGGCATGGAGGTGTAATGGGATGATCTCCTGGCAGGGCCGGATCCATTGTTCGACTGGAATTAACCGTGGCAGGTCATGTGTCACTGGACACTGACCTCAGTCCATTCACTAGCCCACACTTGCATTAGCCATGGCCCGGCGAGGGGTCAAACACAGTTACAAGCCAGCCAAACACCCCTCCCAACACACAATACACAAAACACACACTGCCTTCCAGTTCCTGGCCACTTCGGGCCGCTGCTGAGGAATGGGATATGTGACGGCATCCAGGCCACTTCACTGCACTCATCTCCCAAATCAAGCCTTTTCAAAGTCAAAAAGTAAAGTAGCATTTGTATCGTGGCATTTTAGAAATTAAATGTCCGGCATTAAAAGTGCGTTTGGTTTTATCCGAAGCAGATCAACGCGTTTCTCACAGTGTTTCATTGTGCCGGTTGTAGTATGTATCGCGGAAATGTCCAGTAGGTGGCGCTAAAAGTGCTTTCGGTTTTATCCGAAGCAGATGAACGTTATTCTGGCAACATCATTACGACGATTGGTGTAAAAAGGAACTGTCCACTGAGTGGCGCTAAAAGCACATTCAGATTCATCCTAAACGTTTGAACGTTAACCCTGTAACGTTTTATTACGCTGGTTGCAGGGCTTGACATTAACTTTTTCGCTCTCCAGCCACTGTGGCTAGTGGTTTTCCAAAGTTACAAGCCAATCGGTGTTTTCACTGGCCACAGTTTTGACGTCGATATCATGGGGAAAAATGACGTATATGTATTTTTACTATTATCTCATAATTTGACAGCAGGTTTGACTGACGCTGGCGCACGGATCCATTATACTGTTACACAAGCGTTTTCTTTCTCAACTGTTTACGTGAATACTCGCCATTTTGACATTACTTTGTCTGTATTTCACTGTTAATGCGCAACAAGCAACGAAAAAGAACTCGATACAGTACTGAGAGGCGGCTTTATGTATGCGCTCACTTTGGGAGTGACTGAGAACAACATCTGCGGGAATGAGTAAAATTATGTGCAATATGTGCTGAAATTCACCAAAAATATTCATCCAGAGCAAATGAAACGAGTGAGTGTATGGAGGCGGGTTACGTGTGTCGGAGAAATCACGAGAGCGAGAAAGCACAGGTGGTATTGTGTATCTATTCTGTGGAGAATGAGTATTGCAAGCATTTCAGATATTTCTTAATTTAAGGCAGCAACTTTTTTTTTACAGTATACGTTTTTTTCCCATTTCGCCTATGTTGTCTTCTCCTCCTGTGCAACGGAAGATGGCAATATGTCTGTGACACCTTCGAGTGAATCATCACTTTTGAAGTCACAGTCACCCCGCGCTCAGAGAAGAGTGTTTTAGCACGTTCGCTCTGACATATCCGCCACGGGCCACCCATCAGGACGGCTTTATGTTGTCCGTATGTCGCTGTTATTCCACCGTCTCCCTCAGGCACGGCTCACAGTCGCTGACTTCATTTAACGCCAGTCACCCGAGGCGCGAGTGGCTTTGGCGCATGTTAGCGCGCTAGTACACCTGACAGATGCGTAGTGCAACTGTGAAATGTTCGAAAAACATCTGATCCCGTAGCCTCGGGCCACAGATACCACAGAAATGGGTTGTGTGGATGACGGACAGTTATGCAAAATGATATTCGTGCTGGTAATCCCACTTAGCATACATCTGGGATGTGACTGTGGGTATTTGTAATAGAGCGTTTCACAGGTATATCATCCATATTTAAACGCAAGCAAACAACAGCTGCAAGTTGGTGTTACGCATTGTCATCCGGTGTGATGGGCAGACTTCAGGAGACTGGGAGTCTCGTTCTCCGTCAATTGATTGGGTGTTGAGTGGGTGGAAAAGGCCGAGCCGAAGCCCCAAAGCGCAGCGCCTGAATTAAAACTTCAATCCCCCATGTAAGACTCAATTTCATCCGTGACCCGACATTATACAAATGAGAAGGGGAACTGATAGATGCCTCGTCTGTAGATGGAGTCCCCAAGCTTTGGCCTGCGATGGGGGAAGGGGATTGACCCGACTGCTCATCTCGTCTCGTTCAGTGTGAAACAGCAGAGAGAGTTTGAAGGATCCCTTGAAACACTTTCATTTTGTAAAGCGTCAACAAGATTTTCGGAGTTACATTATCTCTCCCACAAACGGTTTGATAGAAAGAACCTTGACTTTCAAACTCAGGAGACTCACTTCTTAAGGGCTATTTTGATCCAACCCTGAGTGTGATTTTTTGGGGAACCTTTGATTCCTGAACCATTGTACTTCAATGTGAAGATTAGCAACAACTGTTTACTTCTAACTCTAGGTAATGATTCGTTCGTGTTTTGCCTGGATTTATGAAGCAGTTGCATGTGTTTTTGAGAAGAATGAGGTGCGTGTTAAGGGGAACTTCAACATGACTAACAGCAATGATAAATGTAATAGGCAAATTATACATCATTAGTGGTTTATTCCACAGGTTATGATTGCTTTCACACCACATTACAGTTTTGGGAACAGCCCCGAAAGCTCTATGCATGTTAATTAAATATTTATTTTTATGTAGAAAAATCATTTTGAGGAAAATATAACTAACAAATACTAACAAAATTCGCAAATGATTTAAAGTATATTGAAATGTAAATAGGATATTATTAAAATAAGTCTTTTATGCTCAGCCAAGGCTTATTTGATCAACAATACAGTAAAAACAGTAAAATTGTGAAATATTATTGTGATTTAAAATAGCTGTGCTCTATGTCAATATATTGTAAAATGTAATTTATTCCTGTGATCAAAGATGAATTTTTAGCATCATTACAGTCTTCAGTTTCACATGATCCTTCAGAAACACACACACACACACATATATATACTGTAAAAATATATTTTTATGATTTTTTATCAGAACTTTTCATCTTTTGTCAAATCAACGTAGACAGTTAATGTGGTTCAAGTAACAATATTTTGAGTTTCTATTTATTTATTAAATCAATTAATTTTATTTCAGTGAACTCAAATTTTTAAGGCAACCAGGTAACATACATTTATATATATATATATATATATACACATAAATTAGTTTGAACTGGCAGAATAAACCACCATTGACGATGTATAATTTCCTGTCATAATTCTATTAATTTCTAAGGCAGCTGCTCATTTACAGAAGCAAGTGCAATTGTGCAGGTCAAGGTTTGGCTGAAACACAAAAACATGAGTGAAACACTGTTGATTGACTGAAGAATAACCGATCATATGATCATCTTGTTGATTGCAGGACAAACGGACACATCGTCTCGCAGCAGTGGCTCCTTAAAGCGGGTGACAGTGCCATCTGAACGGCCGCTATGAACTGATTCATGCATCCTTTCATTGGCGTGATGACTGGGCATATTCTTTATTCTTATGGACGCCATGGGGTAGGACGATGTGAACAGTGCAGACTTCACAAGAGCCCACACAAGATGACTGTCTGCTCTTGACTGAGGAATTGTTCGTGCTGTGAAAACTCTCACAGCAGCAAACTGTAAAGACGGAGGCATATCGCTGCCAGCCCAGATCTGATGTGTTGTTTGGAAACAGTAATGCTTTTGCCTTTGACAGTAATCAATGTCTCTTTTAGGTTCTGGTGCTGGACACGGACCGTTTTGATTGTTTGCTTGTTTTTTGTCAACCCATAAAAATAATATTTCAAAAAGATTGTATATTAATGATTCTTATATAAACGGTGTGGTGAAACCTGTGTTGGTAGGTCAAGGTATCATTCTCTCAATATTAGCATTGTGTCGTCCTCCCTGGAGACGGTTGAATCGGTCACTCGGAGAGTAGCATGTCACAGGAATCTTTGTAGTCGCTAGATGATATCTGGACTGCAGAGGACTACTTGCCTTCTGGCGTGGCCATACAAACTCGATGAATGGAGGATGTCTGGACTCTGATCCAGTAATTTGAACTCCGAATGGACAACAGCGTCAAGTCATCCAAAACTCTGCTTGTGGCCCTTAAAAAAGAGGTGGAGAGAAACTACCAACAAGGGGTAAAGTGTGCGTAATTATCATTTTCTTTAAGCAAAATATGATTTTTTTTATGTGCTTTTGAGGTGATTTTGTATGTTTGGGTGACTTGGGGTATCAGTTTACAGCCGTAACAAAAAATTAATAAATGAAAACGTTTTCAAAGAAAGAAAGATTTGGGATGTTTCTTTTCTGACCAGCCATCATAAACCATGCATAGAAATTCACAAATGGCCTTTTCTTTAGAGTTATCATGTTTTCAGATTGTACAGACCTAACAATGTATGCAAGTAAGTCAAATAATCATTTAAGCACCTTGAGCAAGGTCACACTGCACACTGGTCATAACTTAAATGTCCACTAGGACAGGACTGGGTTTGCTCCATGTTTCTGTTTAATTTCCCAGTTGGAGTCAAAGCTGTTTTTGTAAATGCAGAGGGAGAAAAGGCACACATTTTGGAAACATAAGGGCTGACTTCAGTGTGACCAAGCCAAGATCTCAAAGAGAGTCATGGGAGTGATTCAGTGAGCATATGGCCACACAACCACATCCAGCATCTGCAAATCTCATCCCATTCAATACAAACAAAATCTCTTGGGATTATATTCTTGGAACAACAGTAAATATACTGGAAAAAAGTTGTTTCTTTTTGGTCCTGGGCACCCCCTTTAATTTGATCATTTGATTGACTCTGTGCCAAGAACAACAGCAGCTGAAATGTTCGGGTAAGTCATCAAATGTATCATCCATAATACTGGCTTCTGTAAGTTTGAAAGTACATCAGGCCTTGGCAAACGTCTTCAAATTAAAGACCAAAAAAGCACTTTATTCTCAGTTCACCTTGACTATTTTTGACTAGTTCGCATGGCCAGTTAGCAGTTAGCCTGGAGGCATTCAAAATGTACTCATGTCAGGCATATTTTCTTCAGTGGAACAAAAAAAAACCATACGATATTTTTAATAATGTTTCAAACGTTTTTTTGTTCGCAAGAATGCCAATGAGGTCCAAAACTTTCAAGCTCCAAAAAGGATATAAGGTAGTGTGGAATTAATCCATACAATATTATTATTACATATTAACACTATTACTTTGTACGAAGGACAGAATGAAATTTAAGCATTTATTCACTTTCAAATCAAACCATTATAGTGATCAGCACACACATACTCAGACTTTAAATTTGGTGACAAATCTTTGTTTTGTCAAAACTCACTAGTTCTTTGACTTATTATAATTTAATTGAATGCGTATCCTGCAGATGTACAAAGTCATACATGTTCAGAATGACTTGAGGAAGGGATGGTGAGCATAGTTCGCAGCATGGTTTATCTTACAAGAACTCGTAGCCACTATTTTTTCTAATGGACCCGGTGTGCTTCAGGTTGAGTCGACCCAGTTTGAACCAAGAATCATGACTAAGAAAAACATATCTTGAAGTTTTTAGCCTTGCGTGTATTGACTTGAGCACCATTACAGTCAAACTGGGTCGGCTCAAACCCAAGCAGAACTTTTAGGTCCATTAGAGAAGAATGTGGCTATGAGTTCTTGTGAATTAAACCATGCGAGGAACGGCCATCCTCACCTGTCTGTCATTCACCCACACCATCCTTGAGTTCCCATTCATGGAACCTCTCTAATGAGAGTGGAAATGTCAGCTATGATACACTCGGAGAGAAGAAGAGAAACAGGGCATCGTACAAAGGGCTTTTATGCGGCCTGCCTTGTGTTTCCTACACACTTGTATTCTAGCTGCTTTGTGACTTGATTAGTGGATCCTCTCACACATTCTCACATGTGAAAAAGAGCACAATTTGCTTGGGATTATTTTTAGTAAAGCATAGTTTGTTGTGTGGTGGAGTGGTGTGTTACCCTGAAATGTGACGGATTGGGCTGGGTATTGGAATAGTGTCAAACTATTTAGGAAAACAGGCAAGCATGTGCCAAAACCTGTTTGTAAAACCTAAAGGCGCTTTGGTATTATCATGCTCCTCTAACATACTTCAAACAATAGAAAGGTATAAAAAATATATTATTGTCTTGTTACATTTCCAAAACGACATGTATTTTCGTTTTTATTTTTTTTTATCTTTTAGCGACCACAATTTCCAGTGTAACTGGTCCTACTTGAACCACTCCAAGTGGATTCGAACCAGGTCAACCGGCATAGGAGGCATCCAACATTAGTTGTTAGTGCGCTTCTGAGGCCAGGAGAGTGAAGTTCCTACTGGTTACATTACACTCACGCCTCTAAACCACACTCCCGTCTGGGTCACGTTCTACATGCACCATGATGAGAGGGATTCGATCCAACATTGACCAGCATGGCAGGTGGATGTGCTAACAAGGATGCTAAAAACCACAGTCTCTAGCATCAGTGTGTCTCTTGAGGGCAGGGGAGTTAGGATTACTTTACCAGCACTTACTAGTTGGCCTCTATTATACTTAACCCTAGTATGGCATGGCAGGTGGGTGCGTTAACAAGGATGCTAAAGAACATAGGCTCTAGTGTCAGTGCACCTATTGAGGACAGGGGAGTGAGGATTACTTTACCACCACTTACTAGTTGGCCTCTATTATACTTACCCCTGGTATGGCATGGCAGGTGGGTGCGTTAACAAGGATGCTAAAGAACATAGGCTCTAGTGTCAGTGCACCTATTGAGGACAGGGGAGTGAGGATTACCTCACAGCTCTTACTACTGGCTTCTATAATAGCCCCCCCAAACCTCACTCCCATCCGGGTCATGGCACCAATGTAACTGGTCCTACTCACACCAATCCAAGCGGCATTTGAACCACTGGCATGGCAGGTGGATGTGCTAACAAGGATGCTAAAAACCACAGTATCTAGCATCAGTGTGTCACTTGAGGGCAGGGGAGTTAGGACTACCTTACAAGCACTTAATAGTTTACCTCTATTATACTTACTTCCCCCCCAAACCTCACTACGAACCAGGTCACAGCACCAACATGGTCCTACTCGCATGACTCCAAGCGGGATTCAAACCCCTGTCAACTAGCATGGCAGGTGGTCAAGCTAACAAGGATGCTAAAGACCATAGACTCTAGTGTCAGTGCACCTATTGAGGACAGGGGAGTAAAGATTACCTCACAGCCCTTATTAGCTGGCCTCAATTATACCCGCCCCCCCCCCCCCCCCTCCCCACCCCCCCCCCAACTAGCGTCAACTAGCATGGCAGGTGGTCAAGCTAACAAGGATGCTAAAGACCATAGACTCTAGTGTCAGTGCACCTATTGAGGACAGGGGAGTAAAGATTACCTCACAGCCCTTATTAGCTGGCCTCAATTATACCCGCCCCCCCCCCCCCCCCCCCCAGTTTAATAGTTTATACCTTTCTATTGTTTAATAGTTTACCTCTATTATACTTACTTCCCCCCCAAACCTCACTACGAACCAGGTCACAGCACCAACATGGTCCTACTCGCATGACTCCAAGCGGGATTCAAACCCCTGTCAACTAGCATGGCAGGTGGTCAAGCTAACAAGGATGCTAAAGACCATAGACTCTAGTGTCAGTGCACCTATTGAGGACAGGGGAGTAAAGATTACCTCACAGCCCTTATTAGCTGGCCTCAATTATACCCGCCCCCCCATGGGAGATGCTGGTGCTAACAAGGATGAAACTTCTAGCATCAGTTGATAATGGTGGCAGGAGAGTGCACAGATCTTGCCAACTGGTCTCCGTTACACTCACCCCCCTTAAACTCACTATATCATCTGGGTCACGGCACCAATATGTGTCCTACTCGCACTGCCCGAGCGGGATTTGGACCACTGTCATGGGAGGTGGATGCACCAACAAGGACTCTAAAGATCGCAGATCGCATGGTGTTCCTCTTGAGGGCAGGAAAATGAGGTTGACCTGCAAAACCTCTTATGAGCTGGCCTTGCTTACTCTTACTCCCCTAAACCTCACCAGTGGCACCAATGTAATCTGTACTATTCGCACCACTCCTAGCCGGATACGAACCAGTGCCAACTGGCATGGACTGCAAGACATTTTCATCATCAACCAAAACCTTGAAGAAATAGTTCACCAAAAAATTAAAATTCTGGCATCATCACTTCAGGTTGTTCCAATGAAAGTCAATGGGTACCAATGTTGTTTTTGGCCCCATTGACTGTACAAAAATAGTTCTGCAATGTTCTTCAAAATACCTTCTTTTATGTTCCACAAAATTAAGAAAGTCATTCAGGTTTGAAATAACATGAGGGTGAGTAAATGATGATAGAATTTTTATTTTAGGATGAACGGTCCCTTTAACCTCATACTGCCAAAGAAAATGCTTAAGCCTTAAAGCTATGTCAATGGATTGGCTGTACACATGGGTTACATAGTTAATTAAGAAGCCTCAACTCTAAATCCTTTAAGTATGATCAAATTACTCCCTTTAGAGACTTTGGAAATAAAACTATGAGATAATAAACCTCTAAATCCAGTGTAAAAATTACCAAAAATTGGAGACCTGTCAGAATGAAACCTCCTGAGTGGTATTAAATAAATGAACCTTCTCATGAAGGCCATGATGCACATTGATCAAGTAATGAAGATGTCCACGTGAAGCTAACTGTACAGGGCTCATTGTTTGAGAGCAAGTAGATGAGTGAATGCTGGTAATGGAATCTCCTTCCAGTGATTT